TCTGTTCTCCCAAATAGGCTCTGAGATCCAGTAAACAGGTCAATGTCTAGCCACCGGTCCTTAAAACATGAGGGATGTTCGGAACAAACTCTCAGTACATTTCCCTGTTTGAACAAGACAGGCAGGGCAACCGGTAGGCATTTAAGCAGACGCACAGGTGGGTGGTGTTGATAGAGTGATAGATGGGAGGATTTGGATGAGTAGAAAAAGAAGAAAAGAACGGGGGGGGGGTATCTGGATGCATGAGTGCATGGATTGCGGATGGTTGGATAGATGAAAAGCTAGGTGGGGAAGGTTAAACAGAATACAAGGTTGGTCAGCTTTTTGTTGCTGTGGCAAAATATTCAGCATACTCAACTAAGAGGAGGGAAACCTGCGATTGTGAGATGACTCAGGGTATAAAAGTCCCTGCTGCTAGGCCCGATGACCTGAAGTTGAACCCCAGGACCTACATGGTAGAAAGAAAGAACTGACTCCTGAGTATTGTCCTCTGGGCTCCACATGTATCTGTGGGATGTATGCATACACACACAAACACACACACATGCACACAGAAATAAGGTATTTGTATTTTTTAAAAAGCACATTCTTTTTTAAAATTTATTTATTTGTTATGTATACAATATTCTGTCTGTGTGTATGTCTGCAGGCAAGAAGAGGGCACCAGATCTCATTACAGATGGTTGTGAGCCACCTGTGGTTGCTGGGAATTGAACTCAAGACCTTGGGAAGAGCAGGCAATGTTCTCAACCGCTGAGCCATCTCTCCAGCCCCTAAAAAACACATTCTTAATAAGATATTTGTAATTTAAAAAAGGGGAATTTTGTGTGACTGTTTCAGTCCATAGTTGGTTGGACTCATTGGTCTGGGTCTGTCTGGAAGCAGACCATGGAGGTGGGGAGCACGTGGTGGAGCTAAGAAAGCTGCCCACTTCCTTTTCATGGCAACCGGGAAGCAGGAAGAAAGGGACAACAGCATCAGTACGTCCCTGAAGGACATAAGATTTAAGTTCAATAGACTTATTGCTCTAACTAAATCCCATCTCCTAAGGCTTCCCAATAGTGTCAAGTGACCAAGGCTTCATTCAGCACGCTAGCTTTCGGGGGACATTTAAGATCCGACGCATAGTAGTTAGCAGTGGGATGGGCGGGGCTATGGGTGGCGGGCATCTGAGTGGAAAGTTGGCTAGTGGGTTGATGAGAGGACTGGGTATGGCTGGATGCAGAAGTGATGGATAACCAAGGTGGCGGATGAGAGCAGAGAGGGGAGGCGAAGCTGGGTAGAGGTGAGAGATTGGCCACGTGAGTAAGAGGACTGAGTGTTTAGTGGGCAGATGAGTTGGAAGCCTGACTGTGTGAGTCAGAACATTAGCCAAAGCCAAAGACGAGCTGCACTGTGCACTACGCAGTGAGGTGCTGGGAGAGTCAGAACACCCGGAAGACGTGGGCCTCACGTTCCTGTCTCCTGCTGCCCACCCTGTAGCTGTGGAGACAGTCAGGTAGGGCTGGTTGTTTCATTACTCTTTACACTTCGCGGGGCCTGTCACCCCGTTCCCAAACAAACACACCTGGAGGCTTATTATTACTAAGAAAGCCAGGCCTTAGCTTGGCTTAATGCTAGCCAGCTTTCTTAAGCTTAAATTCTCCCATCAATCTTTTGCCTCTGGGCTTTTTCCTATTCTTACTTCTGTATTTCTTACTTTTACTCTTACTCTTACTGGATGGCTGGCAGCTGGCCCCTAGCATTCTCCTCTCCTTTTCTCTTGCTTCTCTTCCTCCTCGCAGACTTCTCCTATTTATTCTCTCTGCCTGCCAGCCCTGCCTTTCCTTTCTCCTGTTTTACTTTGGGCCGTTCAGCTCTTTATTAGAACAGCCAGATGTTTTAGGCAGGCAAAGAAACACAGCTTCACAGAGTTAAACAAATGTGACATAAAGGAATGCAACACATCTTTGCATCATTAAGGAAATATTCCCAGCATAAAAAAAAAATACAACACATCCTAAAACAATATTCTACGGCATGAGGAATCTGTGTAACTGCGGATCAGGCACTGCCATGTGTATCTAGATTAAGCCCAGACCCTGGGGACCCGTGAGCTGGAGAAGTCCCAGGGTCACTGGGGCAGGAACACTATGCATGGCAGAGACAAAGCCAATGATTCCAGTGATACAGTCAGAGGATCAGCAAGTGAAGTGTCACCAAGTGTGTGGGTGACTGTCTGCGCCTTGTTCCAAAGGTGATTCAAAGATGAAAAGGGTCTTTCTTGTCCATTAGGGGAATAATTCTTCCTGGTTGCTGTCCAGGCCGAGAGTGGATATCTGAAGAAGGAAAAAAAAAAAAAGAAGAAGAAGGAATTCAGTCTTTTAAGCAAATTCTCTCTCTCTCTCTCTCTCTCTCTCTCTCTCTCTCTCTCTCTCTCTCTCTCTCTCTCTCCCCCCCTCCCCCCCCCCCCCCGTCTCTCTCTCCCTTCTCCTCCCCATTCTCGCTCTATTTTTGCTTGTTTTATGTTTTGAGACAAGACCTCACTATATAACTCCAGTTGGCCTGGATCTTGTCTTGTAGACCAGGCTATCCCAGAACTCCCAGAGATCCGCCTGCCTCTGGCTCGTGAGTGCTCGGATTAAAGGCGTGCACCACCACACCCTGCTGAAGTAACATTTCTTGCATTGGTTACGTTAGCGTTGTGACAAATGCCTGAGAGAAACCCCAGAGTGGAGAGGCTTGTGCTGGCTCCCTGTTCAGAGTCTTTCGTTCCATCAGAGCGCGTCAGAAGGGGTCAGTGTGTGATGGCCAGAGAGGGTAACAGAGACTGTTCACTGGGCAGGCCAGGAAGCAGAGATCAAGGCTAGAACCAAAAGCTGGGCTATGCCCCACCCCCAAAAACCACTTCCACTGTGTCTCAAAACAGCGCCACCCACTGCGGAACAAGTATTCGAGACAGGCCTTTGGCCGGTACTGGCTAGTTTATGTCAACGTGCTCTGCCGCTGTTTCTAGAGTCACTTTCTAGAGTCTAGAGTGAGAGACTGAGAAAATGCCTCCCCGAGGACGGCCTGTAGGCCAGCCTATAGTGCATTGCATTTTCTTCACTAGTGGTTGATGGGGGAGGGTCCAGCCCGCTGTAGGTGATGCCACACCCGGGCAGGTTTTCCTAGAGCAAGCCGTGGAGAGCAAGCCAGTAAGCCACACTCCTCCATGGCCACTGCTTCAGCTCCTGCCTCCAGGTTCCTTCACTGAGTTCCTGCCCTGACTTCTCTTTGATAATGGACTGTGATGTGGAACTGTAATGAAAAAAAAAAAAAAAACCCTTTCCTCCCTGGCTTGCTTTTGGTCATGCTGTTTTATCCTGGCAGAGGACACAGACTAAGACAGGAGGTCATTTTCGGTTCTAACGATGATATCTGTAAATGAAGAGACAAGGGATAGCAGGTTTACGGCAGGTTTTCCTCGCCTCTGGATCCCGCTTCTTTATGCTTGGCTTCCAGACAGTCAGAAGGGAAGAGGAGACCATAGAAGAGTGTTTTAGACCCAAATTTCACGTGCTAAGTATTTGTTCTGTCTTCCTTGGACCAAACCAGGGCCGGCTAGCTGCCAGATTCTACATACTACATGGGTACCTACAGATTAGCAGAACCCAGGAAGGTTTCAGGGTCTTTATTTTCCATGGGTTTATTTTCCATACAAGGGCATGGGTTAGATTTTAAGACATGGCATTGGAGAGATAATTAGATAGATAGATAGATAGATAGATAGATAGATAGATAGATAGATAGATAGATAGATAGACAGATAGATAGATGATAGACAGATAACTTCTTTGTATAGGAACTTCAAAAAAAGAGAAAACTTTGAAACGTTCCTATTTTTGTTTTCTATTTTTGGTTACATTTATGTATGTATGTATGTGTGATTTATTGATTTATTTTACTGTGCATGTATGTCCCGTTGTGTGTGTGTGGTAGGGTGGTCAGAGAACAACTCCCAGGAGCTGGTTCTCTCTTCCATCACATGGATGTCAGGGATCAGTCTCAGGTCATCCTGGCAGCAGGCACCCTTACCCACTGAGCTGTCTTTCCCCAGCCTGGTCTCTGTTTTGTTTTGCTTTGAAACAAGGCCTCCCTGGATTCCCAGTCTTCCTAGGTAGCCTGGAACTTGGAAGGCAGACCAGGCTGACTCAGTCTTGTATCAATCCTCCTGCCTCAGACTTCTGAGCATCAGAATGTGTGTGCCATAAAGCCCACCTGGAAGGTTCCTGTATGGATCTTTCTCTGCTCACTAGGATGTGGTCATGTATTTCATGTATATGTGCCAGCATGCACAAATGTGTACAGGGACATGAGTATACAGGTACATAAGTGTGCAGGTACATCTATGTGTGCTGGTGCTTGTGTACATGCGTGTACACATGTGGGGAGGCCAGGTGTAAAGTCTGGGTGTTGTTCCTCAGGTATCATCTGCCTTGGTTTTGACGCAGGGTCTCTCATTGACCTGAAGCTCAGTGATTAGGCCAACCAGTGATCCCCATAGATCCTTCTCTCTGTCTTCCCAGCTCTGGGATTATCAGTACATTCTTCCACACCCAAAAACTTTACATAGGTTCTGGGGATCAAGCTTAGGTCCTGATGCTTGCAGGGCAAGTTTGGTGCCCATCACACACAGCAGGTAGCTTGCAATCATGTGAGACTCCAGTCCCAGGGAATCTGACACCTCTGCTACATGCATGCACATGCACACACACACACATACATGCACACACACTCAAGCACACACACATGCACACTCTCACATATGCTCACATGTAAATAAAACTAAAATTAAATATATATTTAATTTATAATTTATAACTATATAATATATAAATTTATAATTTGTAATTAAATCTATGTTGGAATCACAGCAAGCCCATCAGTATTGTCATAATTGACAACAGACAGAAGTGGCAGCTGCATATTATGCTACTGATAATTCATATTCTGGCAATGGCACTTCTCCCGCTTACTGTTCAGTGTTTGGCTTCCAAGCACTTCAGGCCGCAGCGTGAGCAGCACTTCTCGTCCAGGGGACAGTCGTTGTCCTTCAAGCACTTGGGCTTGTCGATCTTCGAGCATATCATGGGCTTACTTGGGCAGAAACCTGTTTTGACTTTGTGAAGTAAAACAAGACACTTGACTTGAAATACTTGGAAATAGTCTGACGTAAGTTTGGAAACCCGGGTAATGTTTTATTCTTTGTGTGTGTATGTGTGTGTGTGTGTGTGTGTGTGTGTGTGTGTGTGTGTACATAGGTGTGCTTGCCTATGTAGGTGTGGGTGGAGGCCAGAGGTTGACATTATAATGTCTTTCCACAATCAACAAATTCTCTTTTTTCTTTAAATGAAGTCTCCCACTGAACCTGAAACTCTTCACGCAGTTCTATTGGCTGACCACTGAGCTTCTGGGATCCCCTGTCTCTGCCATTCAGCGTTGGGGGTCACAACTTTGATGTGGGTTTGGGGGATCCACACTCAGGCCCTCATGTTTGTACAGGTCCCCTCAGTCCAGGTTTTATCCTGACTAAACCTCTTCTCTTTCCTCTACGGTTAACAAGAGGCCGTGTCAACCCTGAATAATGACCTGAAGATCAAGAAAGGCCTTGTGCAATTGTGTAAATGGATAGGACCTCCCCTCCCCACACAATAAACAGACTTGAGTTACACAGTCCCAGAGTGATAGTGGGGGAAGGAGTCTCAGAAGAACCCAGAACCCCTATCTTATCAACAAGGGGGACTGAAGACTACAGTGCCCCAAGCCTTGCAGAAAGGCAGGACAGGTGAAGTCAGCCGAAGCCACCGGCTCCCGCCATTCTGTTGTGCTGTGACTTAACCGCTCCTCAGGCTTAGAAGCCGGGGGCAGCATCTGCTTCAGAGGCATTTACACGCTTCCCCTCCCATAGAATACAGGTTTATAAGGGTAATGCACCCAGTGGAGGTGTGTGTGTGTGCGTGCGCGCGCGCGCATGCAGGTACATGCTCACACCTGCCGCTGGACCATCAACTCACAGTCACTGAAGGATGAGGACTCAGAATAAATTTTTTGGGAGGAGGAAAAACAGAATAATTGCACTCATGAGAGGTTTTGAAGAACGGTACAAGGATCCAGAGATCAAGAGGTTGACATGAGAGCCCTCTTTCTTTTTTAAGTCCCCTGAGATATCAAAGATTAGGGCAAGAGGCATCTGAAATCCAAGGGACTTCTCCACGTCCCAGGCAGATGCTGGTGTAATACTCAGGAGGCTGAGGCAGGAGGATGGTTAAGTTTGAGCCTGGCTTGATTCTTTAGTAAGATCCAGGCCACCCCAGACTCTGAGGAGCTTCCCTACCCTGCTCCATGGGGTACCATGGCATCCATGCCTATGCCCAGTAGACCCTGGGAGGCCGGCCGCCAGTCCTTACCTAGCCAGGCCCTGGCACAAATGAAGCCACACCTGGACTCGCAGCACTTCTCCTTCTCCAGGCAGTCCATGTCGTTCTTGCAGGAGGGCGGGCACTCCATCCTCATTTGGAAAGGGAAGAGTGGGCACTGTCCCTTCTTCACTGCAAGGAGAGGCAAGGTGAGCTTGACAGCACCCCAGCACCCCACTGACCTGCAGCAAGCTCCTCCTCCTCCTTGTGGGTCATACTTCCTATACCTTGCTTCAGCTTACCCTGACCATCACCAGTAGGCTGAGGAGGAACAAAAACATAGGGCGGGGCTGGAGAGATGGCTCAGTGGTTAAGAGCATTGCCTGTTCTTCCAGAGGTCCTGAGTTCAATTCCCGGCAACCACATGGTGGCTCACAACCATCTGTAATGAGGTCTGGTGCCCTCTTCTGGCCAGCAGACATACACACAGACAGAATATTGTATACATAATAAATAAATAAAAAAAATAGGGTGTTCCGTGCAATAGAGTGGGCTTAGTGTCTGAAGCCCCCCCACCACAAAGCCCCAGTCCTGCCACTCAGTGAGCTCAGGGTCTCTGAGAAAGAGAGGAAATGATGTGAAAATTGTCACAAAGCTGCCGTCTTCAGATTTGCGATGTAAACACCGTCACTTTGCCTCTGGTAGATGGAGTTCCTGCTGCAGTGGCTGTAAGGACATCTTCTCTCCTCGTTGTTGGGCTGTCAAGGGCTCCAGATGTTGTGAGAAAGATTCCCTTTGGAATGCGTACCTCCCTGGGTAGCATAAAAGGACTCCATTCCTTCTTTCCTTTTTCCTTTCTTCTTTCCTTTCTTTCTTTTTCTCAGGTCAGATTCAGACTTGAAATTTAAAAATATATATATATTTCTTCTTGCATCTGTTTCACTTTTAATGTTTTGAGACAAGGTCACATGTAGTGCAAGCTGGTCTTGAACTCACTGTGTAGTCAAGGCCACTCTTGAACTCTTTATTATTATTATTATTTTATGTGCATTAGTGTTTTGCCAGCACGTATATGCCTGTGTGAGGATGTCAGATCCTGGAGTTACAGACACTTGTGAGCTGCCATGTGGATGCTGGGAACTGAACCTGGGTTTTCTGGAAGAGCAGTCAGTGTTCTCAACCACTGAACCATCTCTCTAGTCCCCAGCCTTGAACTCTTAATCCTTCTTCCTCTACATCGTAAATGCTAGGACTATAAGACACTATACCTGGCTCTGGCTCATGTATTTGACTCACAAAGGTATTGCCCAATGTCCTTCGAGTCCATGACTCCATGGTTCTCTACAGCAGTGATTCTCAACCTTCCTAATGCTGTGGCCCTTTTATATAGTTCCTCATGGTGTGGTAGGTGACCTCCAACCATAAAATTATTTGGCTACTGCTTCATAACTGCAATTTTGCTACTGCTATGATAGGTAATGTAAATGCAGGATATGCAACTCCAAGGGGTCATCACCTGTGGGTTGAGAACCTCTCTGCATTCTCAAGCCTTCTGGAAAGGGGAGCATATGGTCCTAGCTTCTTGGAGTCAGGTCATAAATTTGGTTTTGCTGTTCAAAGGCTAAGAAATTAAGTTAAAACTTCAGCTCTACCCCAACCAACCATGCATCACTAGGCAGCTAAGTGGATTGTTCTAACTCTGTTTTCTCATCTGCAGTGTTGGTGATGGAGCCAAGTATGGTGGCTCAGACCTGTAACACCAACACTTGCATGGCTGAGGCAGAAGACTTGCCACAAGTTCCCAGCTAGCCTGGGCTACAGAGTGAGAACAAACAAACAAAACAAAGTGTTGACAACAGAATATTTGTCAACCTGACTCAGAAAACTTCAGAAATACAGTGCCAATAAGTCAATCATATCTCTTCCAAGGTGGACACATACATTTTGAAGATCGGCAGTTGCCACACCAGGAAGACCCAGCATGCCATGCCTTTTATATCTCTGTTGGCACAGAATCCTATCAACAATTCAGCAAGACAATTGCTCTTCCAGAATCAAGAAGGCAAAGAAACTTTCAGTGGACAGAGGGGAGTAGGATTTTAATCCACATTATTTAATACATAAACCCCACAGCACACTGGCTCCCAACATTATTGGTCCTATTCATTGCACTGAAGAGCAAATATGCAGAATTTACCTCTACCTCACTCTCCCAGGTCTACAGCTACTCCCTGGGGTTTGGAACAGACCTGCCTATGTCTATTCTGCTTCCTCAGGATGATGCTCAGCAGGTTGGTGTGATAACACATCTTCCTCCAAAGAGTTAGACTTGAACTTCAGGTTCCACTGGCCAATGTTTATGAGCAAGTTTTGCGTGTTGTCTCATTTTGCGGGGTTGGGGAGACTTCAAGAATAGAGAAGTCATGGGTAGTTGGAGTGAAAACTTGAGAGTTGAAAAAGCAGTTTAAGCCCTTGAGTAAGGGCCAAGGAGAATTAAAGTGTTCAGGAGAATGGTATGAAAACCACATTTGGAAAGAGAGAACCCGAGGCAGTTGCCTGATTGCTCAAAAGAGGGGAAGAGGCTGGACTCCTGAGATTACTCAATGCTACTTGGAAGCTAGAGAGCTTTGGACATGAGACCAAGGAGTATGAGCTTTTACCTGTAGGCAATGGAAACCTAGGTGGGTGGGAGACTTTAAAATAGAGACCGTTTGGAAAGTCACCTCTTCAGATGGGAGGTGGCTCGGAGCAGGAAGGACCATGCCTTCCCCTTGTCATTCTCTGAGCCCAAGACTTCCATGTGTACATCAGGCCAAAGTGATTGGGGAGAAGGGGCAGCCCACAGGAACACTTCAAGATGTGGCCTGGCTTCCGGAGGCCTCCTATCTACTTACTTGCCCTCATTTCCAGCCTCACAATTCTTATGTCATCTGTTTCTGGTCACAACAACTCCATCGTGTAAATTCTGTTGACGTCTTCATTTTATATCTCAGCCAAAACTCACGAAGGCAAGCAGCCGGCTGAAGGCCTCTTACAGCAAGCAAAAGAGCCTTGGTTTGGATCGAAGGCAGATTAGCCTCACAGCCTGACGCTCTATAGCTAGACTGGTATAATGTTAGTAGTTAAGCAAGGACCTCAGACTACTAGGGACATGGCTCTTACCAATTAACATGCAGGCGTTCTTGCAGTCCATCTTGCTGAGGAAGTTGTTGGAATTCCCATGACATCCACTGTATGTAAAAGGTCTGCAATAATGCTTCTCAGAGTCAAAATACCAGCGAGTCTGATTGTCATGGCAGTCTCCTGCGTCTGAGGGTAACATGCAGGGTTCTGAGGCGAGGAAGGAAAGCAAGAGTGTAAAGCGTGGGCATGAAAAGAGGAGGTCAGGCTCCAGCCACAAGCCCTCATCATAATCCCTAGTATTACTGCTCTGCTCATAGAAAAAGTCGGTGAAAAAAGACATAGGTGGATGAAGGAGGTGGGCTCGGTGAGTTAGGGCATTTGCCTGGTACCAACCCTGATGACCTGAGTTGACCTCCAGGGAGGAACCGGCTCCCACAGGTTGTCTGCTGATTTCCACAATCATGACGTGGCAGCCTCCCCCCAAATAAAAATAAGCAAATGTAGCAGTAACAGTTTTTCTTTTAATCCCACCCCCAACTTAATTTTGTGTATATGTGTGTTCTACTTTCTGGTATGGTTAGGTACCATGTGTGCAGTAGCCTCCGAGGCCAGAAGAGGGAGACAGATCTCCTGGAATTGAACATTGGGTGCTCTGCAAGAGCAGCAAGGGCTTTCAACTAAATTTTCTTTTTATAAGACATAGGCATGATTCCTAGCATCCACATGGGGCTCACAATTGTTTATTACTCCAGTTCCAGGGGATCTGGTAACCTCTTCTGATCTCGGCAGGCACCAGGAAAACATGGTATCTATACATACATGCAGGCAAGACAACCACACACATGAAATATAAGCAAATCTTTCTAAAAAGATTTCTTGTCCTGGCTCTTCTTCTGAGCATTGCCAATAGAGGACATTACAAAACCACACTGGAGCAGATCCGTCTTCCTGAATGTCTTGAGCTTTGAGAGGATAAGTTATCCTCATTCTAAATGCCCTCTTTAGAGATAAGAACCACTATTTAGAGATAAGAGCCATAGATGCTCAGTCATAGAATGAACCCATCTTTGGACAATATCTGATGTAAGGCTAACCCTCACTTCTCTAGCCCTCTGTGAACCACCCAATCCAAGCCCAAATCCTCTGATGGACTCAAACAGATCTTTACTGAGACAGAAGCCTCATGACTCTATGACGAACGTGCTCCATGATGGTCATGAACAATAAACACAACTTGTTCAGCAAGTCATGGTAGCCTTAGGCCAAAAAAAAGTTGATCTCATAAGGCTTTGAGTTAACAGAGAGCGTGGGTTATTAAACACTTCCACCCAGCAGGTGCACAGGTCCCCTCTCTTCATGTCCCCTGTGTAATTTCAATTTTGAGATATGGAGAGGCAATATTATCTTTATATATATATACACATATATATAGTGTGTATACATATATGTGTGTATATGTGGGTATGTATACATATGTATGTACATAATACATACATATGTTCATTTATTTTTCCTTTTTGAGACAAAGTCTCTCTGTGTAGACCAGGCTGTTGTGTAATTCAAAGAGCTCCACCTGCCTTTGCCTCCCAAGTGCTCAAATTAAAGGCATGTGCCACCACACCTGGCTCCTATCATAATATATCAGTGAGATCTTTGTAAAATTATGGAATGAATGAATGAGTCTCTGGGTTGATGGATGCTTTGTTTCTCAAACAACAATTAGCATGAAGTTTGGCTTTTTACAAACAATAGCTTTAACACATGGTGGACATAGAAAAGGCACTAGTTATGGGTGAATGATTGAGCGTCCTACAAAAGAAGTCTAGCATCAGTACTAATGACTTGGTAACCACTACACCTGGACGCCTGACTTGTACTTGAATGCAGAGAGTTAAATTACAGAATGAGAAAGGCTTAAACACTGGCATATGGTCCTGCCATCTGAAAGGATTATTTGGCTAGTTTTCTGCCTCCCACCTGGATGCCAGTACCTTCATAAGGATCTATGCATAAATTCCCACAGGAGAAAGGACAACACTTGAAATGTGCCTCACAGCTGAAGTCTGTTGTGCATGGGTTTGGAACCCTACTTCCGCATTCCAACCGCTTGCTGGGGCACTCACCCACTTTCTCTGCAAGAAAGAAAGACCCAGGTTCACATCCTTGAACACTATGGCTCCTTTCCTCCACGGCAAAGGGGAGCTGTGAAAATCTCAGCCCTTTGTCATCTACCCCGACCCAGTTCTTCCCTTGCTTGTACTCAGGGGCCACAGCTGTCTCCCCACCCTTGGTTCCTTCCAGTGGAGCTAAATCAGGAGTTTGTGCTCGAGTAACTGAAGAAAGCCATCTTGGAGTCCAAGGCATGTAACTAGGTGGAGACAAAGCCATCTGTCTTAAATGAAAGAGTTACTGCCTTGTGACCTGATGACATTAACCCTTGCATCCCCTGCGTTCAGCATCACAGTCTGCAGGGGAGGTTGCTCAGAGGACGGACTGCATGGTAGAAAGAGGAGCCTTGGCTTTGGACGTTCTTCCCCTTTCATCAGCTAGTTCTGAGCTCCCCTTCCTCCCTGGATGGCTCTTCTGAGTCACTCACCTTGTGTGCACGCACCCAAGGGCTCTTGCACATGTCCTCGTCTCAGTTGTCTCTTCAACTTCCTGAACTCTTTCTGGCTTAGCATGTCCATTCTCCTGGTCTGACTGGTTCTGGCATCTTCCCCCGGGCCCACTCTCTATTCTGAACTGAAGACCCTTGTTTCCAGTCATCTGAGGAAAAGCTACTCAAGTGGTTCTCAAGAGCCTTTCACCTTCATGTGTGTACACAGAACCAGTGTTTGGCGGGCTTAAAGAGCACCCTGCACTCTGTTTCCAGGCTTGACCTTCAACACGTGAACAACTCAGTTGTGAAACACCAATACTCCCCCAAACCCCAGAGTCTGATCCATTTAGGATTTGGGCCAATTCTGTTTCTTAAATCTCTTCCCACCCCCACCCCCTCTCTTTGCTGCCCCTTCCTCAGAGTGACACCTGGCCTCCTGCCATGGTTCACCTCCACTATTAAGATGAATCCTCTCTGGCCCTCTCTTTTCAGACTCATGCCTAATGAATAATTAAGTTTTGAAAACTCAATGACACATACTGAGGAAAGCTAGGGAAATAATTTGGGGTAAACAGATGAGGAAGCCATAGAGTGGTAAACAGAGACAGCTCTCTGGCACCCTGAATCCAACCATTGTCAACCAATGCCAGCCTTTGCCTCATTCCAGCCCTCAGTCCCCAAGAGCACTTCCCAGGAAGAAGAACACACGTTTGATTTTGGCAGTGTACGATGCGGAAGTCTGCTCCAAGGAGAGGAAGAGAAGCAACACAAGAGCTCCACTCCTCCAGAAGCTGGTGGAGCCATGGAGGGGAAGATGCCTGTGTAAGCAAAGAACAGGGGCCTGAGTTAGGCACATCTGAAGAAAAGCGCACGCCGTGCAGAGAGGGTTCCCAGCCCCACTTACTTCATGGATGAGAAAACAGAACCAGAAGCGAGAAGGGGTCTGTTGGAGGGTAGCGAGTGAGACAGGCCTGGGACAGACACCTCAGGATCCTCTGTGGCACCCCATACTTGGCCACAGGGCTGCAGCTGGGCCCTTTTGGTCACTTTCCCACTGTCTCGCTCCTGGGTAACAGGTCACACTTGAATCATCACAGAGCTTTGCTTGGAATCGTTGCCAGGTGGCTTTCCCGTGCTCACGTCTGAAGCAACTTCAGACACGTTTCAGGGCCTTTGCTTTGTTCCACTGATGACAGGAATAGAGAGCATGAGGTTGTCTGGAGACCTGGGCAGGCAGTAGAGTATCCTGGTGCCTCTGAATAGCACAGGTACACGTACATACACGCACGCAGATACACATGCATAGATTAAATACACAGACACACAGACACACGTCCCAAATGGCCTTGGGTTAACAAAGATTCTTCTCATTCTTTCTAGCTCCATACAACTCTGGGATCTTATGATTCATCTAGACAATTTGACAAGCAGACAGCAGACAGTCCCCCTTCGAAGCTCCAGTTTCATCATGCTTCTTCATGTCTCATATGTATCTTTAAAATGTGTGTGTGTGTGTGTTGGCACATGTGTGTCGGGGGTGTCAAGCACATGTGCAGCTAGAGGACAATTTGGGGGGTCTGTTCTCTTCTCCCACTGTGAGTTCTAGGGGCAGAACTTGGGTAAGTACCTTTACCCACTGAGCCAGCACCTCCTACAGGTGTTTTTTTTTTTTCTTCCAAGATGAAAAGACCCAGTGATATGCCACTTACTCCAGGCAAACACATTCCAGAAACAGTGAAGAGGAGGGGGAAGAGAAAAGGGGATGTTTTGATGCCACGGACAAAACCAAACAAAGAAACAGGACAAAGCACTAACCAAAACAAACAAACAAACCAAACAAACAAAAAATCGTGTCTCTACTTCTCATATGCCACTCAGTTATGGGAATTCCGGTTCCAAACAAAAGGACAATTCAAAGTTCTTCCCCTGAGGATGTGGTTCGTGGGAACAAAGCAAAGACAAAATGGGTGAGAATCGCCAAGAACTGTCTCAAGGGGTAAAGGCTTGTTGTGTGAGCCTGAATGCATGGTTCAGTCTTCAGAACCCATGGTGGGGGTGGGAGTCAGGAATGTGGTACATATTGTAACCCCAGACCTTGGAAGGAAGATACCGGGGATCCCGGGGCAGTCTGGCCAGTTAGTGTAGCCTACTTGGTGAGTTCCACATCAGAGAAAGACTCACTCAAAATAAAGGTGGGTGTCGCCTGAGGAATAACACACAAGGTTGTCCTCTGACTACCAACACGTGCACACACATAAACACACACATGCACACACGCACACAAACATACACGCACAGTGTGGAGACTAGAGAAGAGAGTGAGAATAAAGTTTGAGAGTTTCAGGGTTTGTCTCACTCAGGGACGGCCTATGGTATGCCACTGTGATTTTAGCTGTCCAGCCTAGAATTAGGATTCCAAGTAAAAGAATGTGTCTGGAGTGCCACCAATAACTTATTTTTAAGTCCTTCAGACAGTTTCCATATATTAACTTTCGGTGTTTTGGATAATATTGTCCTTATGCATGGTTTTAATTAGATGTACTTCACCCCCCCCCCTTTCTTTTCCTCAGAGTTCTCACTTCTCAGCATTTGATTTCATATTAAATTGTCACCTCGCTCTTCCGGAGCATCTTACACATTACCCTTTTGGTTTGAAATTTTACTGGGCAAATGATGATTAGGCCTTTTATGGAGTAGAATGGTATGTGAGGAGTGTACATTGTGGGACAATTCAAGATAATACATCATTGGTTCAGATATCACTGTTTGTAGTGAGAACATCAGATCTATTCCCTTGGCAACTTGGAAACCTACAGCACGTATTATTAACAGTGATCCCCATGAGGCACAAAGATCTTAAAACTGACTAGACTTTCTTTGCCTGGTTTCTGTGGAAGACATACCTGGGGAAATGGAGTCCAGAGGTGGCAGGGAGAGCACTGGTCATGGGCACCTAAGGTGAAGACCCCAGAACCCATGGGAAATTGGAACAATGTAAGCAACTGTTAAAGCCAGCTCCACCACAGTGAGACCAGTAGAGAGCAAATACCCTAGAGACTGATGGGCAAGCTGCCCCAGAATACACAGTACAGCAACAAACTGTGAGGAGACTACCTCAAGCACGGTGGAAGAGGAAAAGCAGCCCTGGAGACTGCCTTCTGACCCGTCCCCAGTTACACACACACCGTACTGCATTGCTCCACATAGAAGGCATATCCAGGGCAGGAGTTGGGCATCATGGCTCAGGGCTGTAATAACAGATACTCAGAAGGCAGGAGGATTACAAATTCAAGGCCAGCTAGGACAAGGTAGGGAGCTGAAAGGGAAGGAGACAGAGACTCAGGCAGGGTCATTGAAAAGGAGAAAAAGGACATACAGGGCAAAACCACAGATAATTAGGCCAGAGAGGGAGACAAGATGCAGCCAAGGCAGGATGCAGCTCGATTGATCTAATGCTGGCCTAGCATGCCTGAAGCCCCCTGCCCCAGCCAAGTCCCATGTAAACCAGGAGAGGTGAGGCAGATCTGTAATCCCAGCACTGGGGAAGTGGATGCAGAAGGAGCAGAAGTCGTCTGCTTCATACGAAGTTCGAGACCAGCCTGGGATAGATGGGATCCTGTCTCAAAGGAGAGAAGGTGGAGAGAGGAGTATTTGGAGGAAAAAGGAAGGATGGGGGAAAGGAGGCAAAAGAAAGAAAGCATTGCTAGACGGTGGTGGCGTACGTCTTTAATCCCAGCACTCAGGAGGCAGAGGCAGGCAGATCTCTGTGAGTTCGAGGCCAGCCTGGTGTACAAGAGCTAGTTCCAGGACAGGCTTCAAGGCTCCAAAAGCGACAGAAAAAGCCTGTCTCTAAAAACCAAAAAAAAAAAAGAAAGAAAGAAAGAAAGAATGAAAGAAAGAAAAAAAACAAAAAGAAAGAGAGAGAAAAAAGAAAGCATTGAAGAAGAGAGGAATCACAGAGAAAAAAGGCTAGGATATTCCCAAACACCAATTTACCCCTGGGAAAAGGAAGGTTCTGGAATCACATAACTTTGCTAAGAGATTCTAAGAGACCCTAAGCAAGTACACCCCTCTCCCCAGTGTGGCAGAGAGCCAGAGACCTCAGCTTGCAGAGGTCCAGACCAGAGAGTCAGAGGCCTTTCCTCCACAGGGTGACTGTGGGTACAGCTAGGCCACGAATGGCCTCCGGAAGTGAACATCACTGGCTCATGTCCAGAGTTGCTTCCTTGACGGTTGGGGCACAGACCTCAGAGCAGAAGCCGGAGCCACTGACCAGTTCCACCCAGCTTAATGCTTCTGGCCACACAACTGCTTCTTAAGATGAGACTCTGGGAACTTCTGCCATTCCTGGTCCTCTTCATCTTCTTATGGGGCATCCAGGAACCTAAGCTGGCAGAGGGGTTCTTTCTCAGTAAGTACTGGGGTACAGTTCTTAATATGGAGAGAAGTAGCTTGATGGGGTCAAAGAACAAAACACACTGCAGATGAGAGGGTTTCCCCACCCCAGTCCCAGACCCTGGTGGGAGTGAGATGTTTGGGGTCACTGTTTCCCCGTCATCCTGGAGAGGTGCCCTGGGTCACACAGGGGTCTCTGTCTGTGACAGCTGACTCCCTATCTTTATAAGGAATTCTTCATGCACTTCAGGACTGGTGTGCATTGAATGGACATTGGGAATTAAGTAGACAAAAGGATCTCCACTTAGGATGAGCCTCTCCCTAGCAGCACCCCAGCAGCTGCCTTGCCTGCCCACTGCAGCTCCCCAAAGCTTTCCTGTATTCACAGGACCTTACCTGTGTGCTGAAGAACAGCCTCCAGGGTCCCTTCAGATGGTGAAGCAGGGAGATTTCATCCTTACCAGCTAAAACACACTGAGCACTTGAAGGTCGTGGGGGAAGTGAGTGATCAGGAGGCCGTGTGACAGGAGCAAATTCCGGGTCTACTCCTTGAGAGCTGTGTGATCTGCACAAGTCCACAGAGCCTCGCATGCTCTGGACGCCTCTGCTCGCTCCATGGGACACTTTATCAATATTAATCACTGGAAGTCCTTTATCAGTATTCATCGCTGTTCTTTTAGCCCAGGCATCTTGACCAAGGCTTTTCAAACTTTGTTCCATAAGCCTTCAGGATGACAACCTAGGCAAACACTGAGCTACAGGGGCCAACGAAGGCCAAACCAAATGATCAGAACAGTCCCAAATGAGCAGGTCCCTCTCTGGGGAATCTTGTAGGGGTGGAGAGAGGGCTGGAGAAGGTTCTGGGGAATAGGTGCTGAGTCGCTGCTGGGGGCGATGGGACCAGTGCTGTGAAAACCTGAGCCCCTGAGGGTTGCCTCTCCTAGTGACAGGTGAGGGGCCAACAAGCTTCCTCAGCTCTGCAGTGACACTCTGGAAGTAGGAAGGGAGAACAATGTCTCCTTCAACTCCTCAGGGGACCACATCTTCTTCTTTTCCTACAGGAATGTGCCCAAAACCCAAAGTGAAGTGTACAGATGTAAATACAGACGAATGTTCACAGCATGCACACTGTCCATCAAGGCAAAAGTGCTGCCAGTTTGTCTGTGATAAAATATGTATGGACCCCAGAGACGGTAACTGTCCCGTTCGCTGAATTGCTTGCACCCTCCTATTTTGGTACTGCCATGCTTTCTGGGTTCCACTCCTGCCGTCCTATGCTGGTACTGCCATGACCTCTGGGTCACCCCTCCTGCCTTCCAATGCTGGTACTGCCATGTCAGCTCCTAGACCACTGAGGGTTAGAGTTTGACCGTGATTATCTTGACATCTGATTGGTGCAGATTTTGACAGTGATGGACAAAGAGAGACGGTGCTTTTTCATTTTCCTTCCATTTCAGTATATGAAGGAAACAACATCCCTTTTCTTTTTAAAGAAAGATTATTTTTATGTGCGTGAACATGTTGGCTCAATGTATGTATGTATGCACACCAAATGCATACAGTGCCTCTGGAGGAAAGAAGAGGGTATCATAGCCCCTGGAACTGGTGATATAAATAGTTGTGAGCTGCCATGTGGGTAATGGGAACTGAGCCCAGGTCTTCTGAGGGGTAGTAAGTGATCTTAGTGAAACATTTATCTAGACCTGGCCTTTCCATTTTGAACCTCAGTTAACCCTTTTATATGAGTCATGTGACCCCTTAGCTACTCTCAGGTGCTGTTCTGAGATGCAAGTAGCTACCAAAGTCTCATCAAACAGCAAAAACACGTCTGGCTGTTCATAAGTTGAGACAGGTGTCCGGAGTTTCCAGGCTCGTTTGTCCAGGTCTCAGACTAACATAAAACCCAGGAAGCCTCCCCTCATCGCGTTAGCCTCCTATACTCTATCTCTGCTCATGTCCTTGAACTCCAGACAAGACCCTCAAAACTACTCGCCCATTTATCTATCAGCAAATATTTACGGGTGCCCATGACACCCAGATTGGGCTCCTCAATGAGGCTACCAAAGATTATCCTGGGAAAGCCATATAGGACTTGAAATCTGAAGGACGGGTAGTGTGCAGGTAAACACAGGGAGAAGTGGCTTTCCAGACACCAGCAAGTGCTCATGGGAAAACTCTGTGCTAGGAGACATGTGATCAGGTGTGGAAACACTGGGAGGTGGAGAAGGTGGAGATGGTGGAGGATGAGCACTCAGACATCCGGCCGTGATCCTCCTCCCTGTGATCCTAACCCCGACTGTGGTCTACTCAGGTTCTGGTTGCTGAATCAGGGAATTAAGGCTGACCTCAACCTTGACATTCTCCTACCTTAGTCTTTGGGTGTCTGGGGTTCTAAGAGTGCACCACCATATCTGGTGATTCATCTACACTTAACTCCCTCACTGGTGTATGACATCAGGGAGTGGCTTCATCTCTCCAAGTCTCATGCCCTCTACCTGCACAATGAGAACAGAAAGAGAGCTGCCATACCAGAGGAAATGTCAACATGTGTCAAAGGCTAAGACCCACGAGCAGCACTTTAATAGCTAAACTTGTGTGATTGTAATGGAATTTTTCAGTGGTGAAATCAGTTGTTCATTAAGTGCATAAGTTTGGGATCTTTATCTCTTTCCTTCTTTCTTTCTTTCTTTCTTTCTTTCCTTCCTTCCTTCTTTTCTTCCATACTTCCTTCCTTCCATCCTTCCTGCCTTCCTTTTTTTTTTATTTCTGAGAATATTCCTGAAACATCCATTTCTTGCCAAAGATCTGCTCAGAATGGCTGTACAGGGCTAAGGTACAGTATTTGTTCATGAAGAACTCAGTTTTCCTGCAGTCAGAAAATATGGTTAAACCCACGATAAATCTTCATCACAGACATAAAACAGATGCATTAAATCAAGGGGTAAAGCATGGACCCAGGAGACATCAGAAAGGCAATGATGCTGGGTTGTTTAGATATTGCAGACATGGTCTTCTATGTAGCTCAGGGCAGCCTTGAAATCGCTGCAATCCTCCTGCCTCGGCTTCCCAAGTGCTGCGATGTCAGGCAAATGTCACCACGCCTGGCTACTGGGAGGCTTTTGAAGAATGAATAGGAGTGTGCCTTGCTAGCCAGAGCAGCTCGGGCATTGAGGAGGTGTGAAGGCGTGGAGACTAGGGAGTAGGCTGACTTTCAAGGACAGTTTGAAAGAATGAGCGTTAAGAGCAGCAAAAGAGAGAAGCTGTGGAGAGGGAGGTATGGACTTTGGGGTTGGAAGATAACTGTCCTGAGCCAGTGCATCAGCTCCCCTGACGTCTAGTGGACTGGAGATATTTTAACTTAGATGGTGGCCATTCCTGGCAGAAAGGAAAGAGACGGCCATCCTTGCCGTTTATGAGGCCAAGTCCTCAAGCAGTCATCATTCAGATGCTGAGGAGACACAATGGCCACGTCTGCTCCTGGGACGGTCCTGTCCCGACCAGCAAGGTGGTTCTTTGTGTTGTCATCCTGCAGCTGAGAAAAAGAAGACCAAAGAGGCTGAAGTGACTGGTCACATTCCCAGGGAACCAGAAGCACAGCTCTGAGCTAGACAAAGAGAGCAGTGGACAGAGGAAGGGGGCGGGGCTCTTCCTGAGGAGACAGGCATCCAAATATCTGTCTTCCATTTTTTCCCCACAGATTTTTGCACTCTGCCAAAGAATATTGGCCCCTGCATGTTTCGTGTTCCACGCTGGTATTATAATAAAGAAACTGGGGTCTGTACTCAATTCATCTTTGGTGGTTGCATGGGGAACCGTAACAACTTCAAAAGTGAAAGTATCTGCAAATCCATCTGTAAAAAATGATGTAAGTGCTAAAGGTCCCCAATCTGCATTTCCACTAAAGTTAAACAGCAATCTGAGCATCAGTCCTTTCCAAGGCCAGGGCAGTCCTGGAGGTGCAAATGAAAGGACCTGGGAAAGAGAGGATAGGAGGGAGGCAGAGGGCAAAGGGAAGCCTGCAATTCTGAGGGGAGCAGTGGGAAAAGAAAGGACACAGGAGCAGGGAGCACCTGACCCAACTCAGAGGAGGAGCATGTGAGCTGCCATGGTCACCACACTGAGTTAACAGGTATAAAGTGGTATAAATTAGAAGGCGCGAGCTGATCCCAGCAAGCCCATCACTTCTGTTTTCCCTGCTTGCCCGGGGATGTGAAAATCATCCCATCCCTTTCCATTTGCTGAAGGATCTGGTTCCTACGGTGGCTGAAGCCCAGCATCTCCATCCTTACCCTTGTGTCTTACAGATCTGTCTTCCTCGATAGGAAAAGGTTGAGCTACAGAAAGCTCCAGGTCTTGGAAATTTGAGACTTCCTTCTGTGAGTCCAAGGATACTCTAGATTGGCTGACAGCAGTCAAGTCTTAGCCACTAAGATTCCGGCTGCTCCCACAACAGAACTGCAGAATTGGCTTATTCTCTTTCCCTCACGCCAGCGTCTCTTCAAACGTAATGCCCTTAAGCCTTTTGACTCCTTCTCAGTGTAAGACCCTGTCACCTCAACCTCCGGGGCTCTCATTTATTCCTATGAAGACTCTAGTTCCTCCTAATAAAAAGATCATGCGAGTTTTGATGTTTCAGAGTCTGAATAACTCCTCTGTTGTCTGCTGGTGTTAATATCGTTTCACAGCCCTCTGTACGCAGATGTTCACGTCTGTCCACAGCCCTCTGCATGCAGATGTTCATGTCTGTTCACACCCCTCTGCATGCAGATGTTCAGTTTGCTCACAGCTCTCTGTGTTTAGATGTCCCTGTCTGATCAGAGTACTCAATATGTTATCCCTATCTGCTCTTGGTCCTCAGTATAAATTCTCAGATAACAACAGTGTTGTAAGTGGGCTGCTTGTTTGTCCTGGCCGCTCAGAACTGAAATAATCACACAGAAAACATATTATTTAAATCACTGCTTGGCCCATTAGCTCTAGCTCCTTATTGGCTAACATTACATATTAATTTAACCCATTTCTATTAATCTGTGTGTCACCACATGGCTGTGCTTACTGGCTAAAGTTCTGACATCAGTCTCTGGCAGGACTCCATGGCTCCTCTCTGACACTGCTCTTCTTTCTCCCAGCATTCAGTTCTGTCTTCCCTGCTTACCTAAGTTCTGCCCTGCTATAGGTCCAAAGCAGTTTCTTTATTCATTAATGGTAATCACAGCATACAGAGGAAAATCCCACATCACGACAGATTATGAATCTTCTACTAACAGCACAAAGAGAAGAAGTGTGAAAATCATGACAATTGTGGATCAGGGGAAATGTATCTATCCTGTAGTGCTAAAGAACTGAGAAAGAGAAGAGACAGCACCCCTAAAACTGGAGGCTCATTTGAAAAATGCTTGGAAATAGAGGAGAAAATATCTCAAGTAAGAACAGAGTTCACCATGAACTTTTTAAAGATTTAGGTTGTGTGTGTGTGTGTCTAGTCCCGGTGATGATGCGCCATTGGAAGTGGGTGCTGGCTATGACACTTGAGTCCTCCACAAGAGAAGCACATGCTGTCAACCCTAAGCCATCTCTGCGGTCCCTTCACTCTGCTCTTACCTGTGAAGAACTCCCAACCAAGTTTCCGTTACAACTGACTTATGCATGGTTTACGAGATGGTTCCTTGGGGGTGAAAGTCCTTGCCAGGGATAAAGGTGTTTGTTGTGCAAGCCTGGCAGACTGTGTGAGTTCAATCCCTGTAACACCCACACAGCGGGATGAGAAATCAGTGCCAGAGCATCATCTTCTGATGTCCCCTTTCATTTCCACTCTGTTACACACACTCTCTCACACACAGTTACATACACATCATACACATAAACAATAATAAAAATAGTAGTAGTTAGTTTCATTGAAAAACACCTTTTTCTGGCTGCAGGTACAACTCGCTGGTAGAGTCTAGCATTTTTGAGGGACTGGCTTCTGTCGCCAGCAAAATACACACACACACACACACACACACACACACGGTGTGTAACATGGGGAGATTTGTTTCCCCTTTAAATATTTGTTTTACATTGCTTCACTTGGTGGGGTTGTGTGCCATGGCAGACGTGTGGCAACACTCAGGAGTCAGCTCTAGCGTTCCCTCGTGTGTCCCAGAAATTGAACCGGATGTTTTAGGGTCGGTAAGCAGCACTTTTTACCTGCTGAGCTATCTGGCAGACTCTGAGAGTCTTGTTTTCTATTTCAAACATTTTTTTTTCTCATATTCCTAGAAACTTTCAGGCTCGTGTTTTTCTGGCTCAATACATTGAAAAAGTTGCCTCCTTCCACATCTTTCCAGAGTCAGGGATGTGAGCTCCAGAGTCAAACCTCTAGCCTCATGCCTCAGTTCAAAGGAGCTCGATAGTATGCAATGGGATTAGTCCTTGCAGCTAGTATTAAGCCAAGAGCACTTACTACACTACGCCTATATCACTAATCCCCAACTAAAAATGTCCCTAACTTCACTTCCTTCTGTGTGGATGCTCAAGATGCTGGCATCTGTTCTAATGCCACCTGACCCAGGAGAAGTGTGACGTCAGGGTGGAGGAGGACAAGTTGACTGACAGCAGTTAGAACATCTTAGATAGCACCGTCATTTAACCATGTAAGCACAACAGCCAGAGTCGTTTCCATAATCATTCGGTCTGCTCAAGGGAGGACCCTGAGGCTGTGATGAACCAGCCTGCATCCATTAGGTTTATGATTAAACTTCTGTGTCTCAGGGATTAGGCTATGCCCCACCTGTAACCTTAACTACGAATGGTTCTGTATTGCCTGTTCCAGGAAGCAATAACCGTATCTTTGCTTCATACAGTTGTTTATAACCATCTTGCAATCCCACCTTTCTTTCAAAAGGTTGCTATGACCACCTTGCAATCATGTCTTGGTTCAGGAGGCCATTATGACTAACTTGTTATGCTTGTGTTCTTCCCCTATAACCACACCTATTTTTCCCACCAAACCCCCATTTGGAAACCCCTTATCCATGAGCTATAAATATCTAATCTCCCCCATGTTCAGTGTTGATCTCTTGAACCCCACCTTAGGGGAAGGCAGCCCTATACATAAATTTAAAAAGCTTGCTTTAATTGACTGCTTGCTTTAATTCATTTAGCCATGCTGATTTGGCACAGTGGTATTTCTCTTCAAATCTTTGGGATTGACAGCTGGATACCCCTTCAGGATAAATCTGCATTTACCATGGGGTTGTAGTAAAGATACAGTTTCACAGTGTCTGCTAGAACCCCCAAATCAAATATTATGGGTGAGACAGGAGGAAGCAAAGAGGAACTGAAGAGGAACAGAGGAGGAAATCAGGTGAAGGAAGAAATGGTTCAAGACAGCATGGCAGTCTTGAAGCAGGGAATCAGCATTGTCCCATGTGCCTCTTACCCATGAGTGGGGTCGAGGCCCCTTCACTGAAGCTAGGTTGCCCTGCTCTGACCAATAAAACAAAGCAAAAATGGTGTCATGTGACTTCCCAGGAAGATAGAGTTCTACTTCCTCTGAGTCCTGGGGGTGCGGGCGGGGGACTGATGAGGAGCAGCTGGGAGCAGGTGTCATGGGAGCGCTCTAGTCATGGGAGACAGCTGCACTAGAGAGGCTCATGGTGGGGAGGGGGGCTCTGATTGGCAGAGCTAGATAAACCCCAACTGATGGATCGTCAAGTAAGCGGCTCAGTGCCGTGGCTTCTCAGATCAGGTGAAAGTCCCACGATGAAAGTGCCGCACAGACTCCACCAAATCACTAGAGAACTTAAAAGATACAAGCCGCTACTTCACACAAGGTGGGAGGCACCCAGAAGCTGTCCTCCAGCTTTCAAAAAGCTATGTTTGAGTCTGCAACCCCTACACGGAAACTCATGAGCAAACTTTCAAAGATTTAAAAAAATGTATTCTTGTCTAATTGAAAGGCTGTACATCTTAAAGACCTTTATACATGTGAGCAATGTACTGCACCTGTATATCGTCAGTAGGTTCTTATCATCTCGCTATGGTGTATGAGCAAGGATGATGAGAATAACCTGTGCTTGGTTCTCATTCTTGCAAAGATGAGCTGTATCCATTCCATCTTCTCTCCGTTACCCCTTCTTTACCCCCCAAACAGATCTTCCATCTCTACCCAAATTCTCTGATTTTTGTCAATGATGTACAGATTCTAATTAGTTCTGCCCTTATGTGCCCCTGTGTGGGGTCCTCCACTGAGGCATGGACAAACTACCCAAACCCACTTACCACACTTAGAAAAGTGGCTTTCCCTCCCGCGGGAGCCATCAACTGTCATGAGCTCCTCAGCTGGGGGTGAGACAGCAGGAGTCAGTTCCTGCTTCATCTTAGAATGTTTGAGTAGCTTGATCTTGTGATGGTCTTGTGTGGCTAACCACAGGTACAGTGTGTCTGTGTGTGTTAACACTCACATGACCTCCCAAAGTTTGTCTTCTACAGCACACCCACAATCTACCCTGCCCCCCTCTACCACACTGCTCCCTGAGTCTTGGGTGTGGGGTTGGAGGTAGGGCAGGAGCTTGTTAATGACATTCTATCCATGGCTGAGCTCTGATTGCCACTTACTCTTGCCATTGTCAACACCTGGGGTTTCTGCATTTAACCACCACCTACTGCAAAAAGAGGCTTCTTCTACTCAAGCTGAGGGCAGTACAAATCAATGGGTATAAACACGCATAGCTAGGGGACTGGAGAGATGTCTTCACAGTTAAGATCACCTGCTACTCTTGAAGAGGACCTGTGCTCGGATCCCAGCAGCCACATAGCAGCTCATGACTGTCTACAACTCCAGTTCCAGGGCTCTGATGCTCTCTTCTGACCTCTGTGGGCACCAGGTACACACGTGGTGCACATATATACAACCAGGCAAAACATTCACACACATAAGATAAACATTAAAAACTATTTTTTTAAATGTACGTTTAGAATACAGTTTGGCAGCCTGGCCAAGGAAGTTGGTTTATAATTTTCTCTTTTTTGTTGTTGTGTCTCCCCCTGACTTTGGAGTTAGAGTAATACTGGATTTGTAAACAGAACCCGGTGGCAATCCTTCCTTACTAACAAATTGCTGTTTTATCTTCAACTAATTGGTTGTGCCTTAATCTACTGCTATTTCAGCCAGCAATTGCAACTCTGCAGTTATCAGCTTTTCTGGCAGTGGCCTGGCCACTTAGGCCACAGCCTGGTAGGGATTCTGTTCCTGCAGGCACTGGCTCTGCCGCTGCCACTAAAGGTAGCTTTAACTAAATTAATTCTCTATCATTCTATTTATAAGTAAGACTTGAGAGTCAAAGGCTGGGGTGAAAACCTGCTACCTCAGAGAGGTTGAGTAACATCTAGCTAACCTTCTCTCCTTGCTGGCATCTCCAAAAGACTTCTCCTCTGCCAAACAATAAATGTCTTGCTGCTCCAAATCTCTCCCTACTCCTGATCTCTCTCTCTCTCTCTCTCTCTCTCTCTCTCTCTCTCTCTCTCTCTCTCTCTCTCTCTCTTTCTCTCTTTCTCTTTCTCTCTTCCACAGGTTCCTGAAATCAAAGATCAAAGTGTAATCAGTTCTCTTGTAGAATGAACAGTTGTGATGAACAACG